GTGAATAATTTAGATGTGTAGGAGATGTGCCAATTCTTTTCCTCTTTTTCAAGACAAGCTAAACTTCTTGTTTGGAATTTTCTAGTCACATAGTTATTTGTTCTTTACAGCCTCTCATTGAAAGGGCTGGGAAATGTATCGTATAACCCTCTTTGTTCCTCGCCGGTCGCTCTTGTGATCTGCCACAGGCCATTGAGGCTTGGAAGCTGAGATTTCCTGGGTTGGCGTGCGTGCCTGGAATTCAGCAGGCTGAGCAGCCTCTGGTGACGAGAGGTTGAGCTGTTCTCAGGTTGCGGGAATTCAAAGTCTCTCACCAAAGAGAATGCCAAGTGTTTTTTCTCTCTCATGCCTTGATTGTTTGAGGTAATAGGAGGACCACAGGGCCCGCCTTGGAGCAGTACGTGGCAGATGAGGCCAAACCTGGATTTCACATTTTGTCGAGGAAGATTGGGAGGGTGTGCTAGAGAGAAGCACGTTAAAGCGGGGAGAGCTGAGATGCAGCCCCCTCCAGTCTCAGGAGATAGACGTGCGGGGAGAGCTGAGATGCAGCCCCCTCCGGTCTCAGGAGATAGACGTGGGCCTGGAGTCTCCAGGAATTAAAGATTCATTTTAATTAAAGAAGATGTCATGTGATTGGATCTCCAGAGATACGTCCAACCAAAACTGAAAGAGCCCTCTCCACCAGGGGCCAGTGCCAGGTGCCCCAGAGGGAATGAAGAGAACAAGCAATCGCCAGATGATCCATCCTCAGTCGCCCATTCCAAGCTTCTGGCAATCAGAGGGTGGGGACACCATCCCGGCCCATCGTGGCTAGTAGCCATTGATGGACCCAACGTCCATGAATTTATCTAGTTCCTTTTTGAATCCTGTTAAAGTCCTGACTTTCACAAGGCAAGGAGTTCCACAGGTTGAGACTGCACTGAGTGAAGAACTCCACAGATTGACTGCACACAGGAGTGAAGAAAAACTTCCTTTTGTTTGTTTTAAACCTGCTGCCTATTAATTTCATTTGGTGACCTCTAGTTCTTATATTGTGGGACTATGAATAAGGCAAAAATTACTCTTTCCACACCACTCATGATTTTATAGACCTCTATCCTATCCCCCCGTTAGTCTCTTCTTTTCTAAGCTGAAAACTCCCAAGTGCTTTCAATCCTTTTTCATATGGGACCCATTCCAAACCCCTAATCATTTTTGTTGCCCTTTTCCAATGCCACTGTATCTTCTTTGAGATGAGGTGACTACATCCGTACACAGTATTCAAGATGTGGGCATCCCATGGTTTTATATAAAGGCGATAAGATACTTTCTGTCTTATTCTCTCTCCCTTTCCTAATGACTCCCAACATTCTCTTTGCTTGTTTGACTGCCGCTGCCCACGGAGTGGATGTTTTCAGAGAACATCTGAAGCAGCAGCTGACAGTTGACATCAAGTGTTGAGCCCCTTGCAGGGCAGGAGGAAACTTCATGTGTTTTCCCCACCCCCAAGCCTTGAATGGCCTGGGGGCGGGAGGGGGAGTGTGTGCTGTCTCCTCCCACCGGCTTGTCCTCCGCCCTGCCAGGAATGTGCCACGTTTAGAAGCGCTGCATGCTCCTAGCAGGGCAGGAGGAGACTGTGCACACTTCTGCCCCCAGGCCAATCAGGCCGCCTCCTTCTAAGCGCTGTGCATTCCTTGCATGGTGGGAGGAGACTTTTTGTGCGCTTCCTCCCACCCCCGGGCCTTGATTGGCCTGGTGGGGGGGAGCAGCAAGGCCTCTGCGGGCCGGATCCGGCCCACGGAGACCCTTTAGCCCACCCCTGATGTAGGCCCTGTTGTGACCCCTGCTGGAGTCGTCGTGCAGTTCTGGGATTCGCAGGCAAGAAGGATGTTGCTAAATAGGAGAGGACTCGAAGAGCCACAAGAGTGATTAAAGGATTAGAAAATACGTCTGATAGCGGTAGATTCAAGGAACTCAGTCAAAGACAAAGCGAAGTGGTGACTTTACTTATATGGGGAACAAATACTTGATGAGGGCCTCTCAGCATAGCAGAGAGAGGCAGAATACGATCCAATGACTGTAAGACAAAGTTAACACATTCAAACTGAAAATAAGGTTACATATTTTAGCCGTCAGGGTAAATAATCATTGGAACAGTTTGCCATGGGCAGTGGTGAATCTTCCCTCACCATTTTCAGTTCAGGATTGGATGGTTTTCTACCAGGTTGGCTTTAGGAATTGTTTTGGGGGCCCTGTGTTATAGAGGAGTTCAGACTGGGTGATCACAGTGGTTCTTTCTGGCTTTAGAACCTATGACTCTCTAAGTCGGCCTGCCCATTCAGGTAAACCTTTCCCCCATCTGAACTTTCCTCCTTTGGGGCACAGAAGAAAGGCCCAGATGCAGTCTGTGAAGCATCTTCAACATTAAGTTTCCATCCCTCTTCCTCTCCTGAAGTGGAATCTCCCACAGTGCCCTTCTCCTGCAGG